CGCCTTTGGCATATAGCCATACTGGTCCCATGACCATGGAAAATGTTTTCGGACAACACTGGCTCCCTTGGCCAAGAAACGAGATGAGCACCAGGCCCTAGAGTCAGACATGACTGGACAGGGAAACCTTTACCTTTAAACATTTGGGAGAGCCACTGTTTTCCCTGTATATCTATCTCTTTGTGGGTTGTTTATCTTAATGAAAGAGCCTCCTCAAGATGCCAGCAAAACCTTTGTCCTCTGGGCTGGTTCTTTCTGTCAGGCTATTCAAGTGCTGTGTTTTGGACCTGGCTTATCGCTTACATATTTCTGTAACAGAAATATTAACTTTGCTTTCTTTGAAACCACTTAATGGTTATTTATTGAACAATTAAAATGTTGAGTTGAGAAATCTCACCATATGGCAGGACTCCTCTAAGCCGTTCCCACATTTTTCACCATTGAACATATTGGCTGGGGCTTGTAAGAGGTATAATGCAGCAACATCTAAAGGACCACAAGGTCTCCCACCTCAGCTCTATGGAATTATTTATTTTTTGGGGGGCTTTCTGTTTTCACATTTTTTAGATTCTCAGAAATCTAATTTATTGTTAATTTATTAGTCACTTACATGCCACAGAGTGAATGTATGAGCAAATGTCCACCATATTAGTTTGACCCAGTGGTGGGATTCAAATATGTGAACAACCGGTTCTCGGTGTGGATGCCGCTTCCGGAAGTCCATTCTGGGCCTGGGAAACAAAAAAATAGCTACCAGTTCTGCCAAACTGATGCGAACTGGCTGAATCCCACCACTGGTTTGACCCTTGTGATAATCTGTAGCTTATCTAAGGGCATTCTAGTGATCTTCACCTCATTTATTCAACTTTGTCACCCCATTCTACTTCCTTCAACCTTGCTAAATGTAGTTGTTTTCTCTAGTCTACTCTCCATTGTGATCATAAACAATAGGAAACTGTGGTTTTTTACTCAGTTCTTCTTCCATAAATCCTAATAAGTACAGTTCTAGTCCAAATATCTGAATAGATAGACGTCCTCAATTTTCACGTATTAGGTGAGCAAGATAGGCCATTTCGAAGTTACTCATGTCCCATGTCCTGGGTTGAAATAAAAGTTATCCCAAGTCAGTTGGAAGATCGCATATAGCAGAACACCAGGAAACCTCTGGAATTGCCTTGCTCAGTTTGACTTTATTCCTCCAATCTGAACATCTAGGAAAAGCTTATGGAGGTTCTCTGCAAGAGGTTCGTAGGACATGGGCCTTATGGGAGGTCTTTTTAATAGTAGCCCCCATGCCATGGAATAAGCTGGCAAAACCCACCACCACCCCATTTCTCCTTGCATTTCACAAACTTGTTAAGAACATCTTATTCCAGAGTGATTTTGGCCTCGGACAACTGGGGTGACTATTGTTTTTTCACTGTATTATTTGAGTTAATGTTGCTTTGTCTGCTTTATTTTTGTTTTGCCTCAGTTGAATGGTGCAATTTCTAAATATTGTGGATAACTAAACGAAATAAAAACAAACATTTACAAAATTCTTCCTGCATGATTTTGAGTTATTTGCCCACTCCTACCCACTGCCAGATCTATTCAGGAATCCACTCCCTATCCCAACAATGAAAAAATGCCACAGGGCTGTGAGTAGAGAGAAAGAAATGGAAGATTAACTTTGTAAGCATCTTTCTACACGGAAAATCACTGCATTCATTCCAGCAAAGATAAATTCGTGCTTTGAAACTCACCCAGTTCATTCCACTTCCAAGTTTAAAAATATAGATATGCATGTCAAATGTTGCAGCTTATTTATTTATTATTTTTCAAATGTCCAGGCTGCTCAACTCCAAACTCATTCTGGATAGCTTCAGAAGATAAAAAACAAGAGAAACATTTTATAGAAAAAAGAATCTAGTCACCGAGAGGGAAGATTAAACGTCACTCTCATGATATCACCTTCAATTTAAAAGGGCTTGCCAAATATCTTAATCCAAGGCCTGGGGAAAGATTCAGATTTTTAAGGCTTGTTTTAAGACAGATAGGGGTGGAGGCTTATGAATTTCCAGAGGGATGTTGCAGTTGTTGTAATAGAGAAGGCCCACCTTCTGGGTCCTGCTAGATGGCATTGCTTGATTGATGGGACCTCAAGCAAATACATGATGCAAAAATGTGATAAGAACCACAAATCAACCTTTTGGTTTTGCTCTGCATCATGTCAGTTATAGTGAATCTGATTCCAGCTGATTCACACAATGTTGCAGGTGGATGGCTCACTCACATCCATTTCCTCTGCTTTCTCTGCCTTGATTGTTGTTGGCAGCTACAATGAGAAGACTTGCATTTGCGATAAAATGAAGGACTATGAAAAGTCACTTCTGGGGTACGACACCTGTGATGGTCCGTAATGAATTTAAATGTATGAGTGTTTAGTGCTCAACCGATGGATGTACATATGTGAACAAGGCCTGAGTCATTCCATCACTATTGCAATTTTTTTGTTGAGAAACTTGTACAATATGGTAATTTATCCAGTGACAACAATCTGTGCTTCATGCATTGCCAACCTGTATCACACCTCAGTTATGACAAATATATAAAAAGGTAAATGTTTACACACACACACAAACACATATATATGTATATGCATATGTATGTATGTATGTATGTATGTGTATATGTATGTATGTGTATATCTATATAAATAAAAATGTAAATGTTCGTTTGTTCAAAATCTTAAATCTCCGAAAGTTCTTCACCGATTGCTTTGAAATTTTGACACAATGTTGCATTCGAATACGCACGTGTTTTTATATACCTATATTATATAGATGTCACACCTGTGACAGGTAAAAACATGCTTTTTTAAAAAAAACAGCGCCATCTGTTGGACGTAAAAGCAACACACGCTACGATTTTACCATTCCATTTCAATGTTTCCGATTTACGATCCATTTATGATTTCCAAATTTCCAATTTTACGATTCCATTTCAATGTTTCCGATTGCATTGTTAAATTGAATTTTCATAGATTTTGATTTATTTTCATTTTGATTTAATTATTTCGTGTGACATTGCGTTGGAATTGATGCACAGACAATGTTGTATACCCACAAGCATTGTGAAATTAAACATATTAGAAACGTGCACTTTCTCTCTCTCTCTCTCTCTCTCTCTCTCTCTCTCTCTCTCT